AATACCTGCTGGTAAGGACTGACTCTCAGCTCTATTAAAGAATTTTTGAGAGAAACTGAACCCACCTGCTTCTTTCAACGACAGATATAGAGGAACCGATGACCTTCAGAATGCTTCAGGTTGTGCCCTGGTCTAGTTATTAGAAATAATCTAAATCATGCCATAAAGACAGGGAGCTACGGGATATTTTTCAGCCCCCAAAAGAAATAAGACTAATGAAGCACCTTTCACAGCCAAAGCAACATTGTTTTTAACACCCACTACTGTAATAAAAGTAGTGGAGAAAGGGAGCAGAAGTTTGGACAAGGCTAGGTCTAGTGGGCTGTTTGTATTCTGGGGCCCCAGGGCATAACAGCAGTAATTAATGATAAACTTTTGTTAATGAAATATATAGAAAGAATAAAGCATTTCTATATAGGAATGTTACAGTTAAGAATATTACTATACCATGTTTGGACAAGGCTAGGTCAAGTGGGCTGTTTGTATTCCGGGGCCCCAGGGCATATAGGCTGCAACACATGTTAATGGAAATTGCAGTGATATACCTCAGTTTTCCATCTAGGTAAGTGACTGGACAGTATCCCTGCATTTCTGCACTCCTAGGGAATAAGGCCTTCACTTCTGCCACCGTCAGTTTCTTTGGTAGCATTTCTGGAGGTGGAAGAGGATGAGGTGCTAGTGGTGGTACATATACCTCTGGCTCATTCAAGAATTTCTGTAGAAAAAGAAATTAAACATTTTAATAAAGAGGGAAGCACTATAAGACTGCTGGTCAAGCTCCAAAAGACTAGCTCCTGCAATTTAGATACTTTTTTTCTAGAAAATCTCACCAGTGTACTGGTGCGGCTGCCATGCTAAGGAGGTCATTTCTTTTCCAACCTGCTACATCCCTCAGCATCCATCCAGTATCCATAGCCATTTCCTATGCCCCCACAAAGAACTGATATAGGAGGGAAGAAATGGTTGCTTCAAAAATTAGTGTTTGAGCTATGATAATTTGGAAGAGGATCTCTGCTGCATTCTGTCTGACTGCATGTTTGATAGCAGAATTACACAGCTAGAGCACCAATAACACTAGTCTAATTCAAATGACATGGTGTTGTTTCTGTAAAGAACCAGAGACCCAAAGCAGCATTGCTCCCCTTCCCCACATTTTTGGACACTTCCCTCCAGTTCTTCCTGTGAAGCCATTTTGTAATAATGTCCTCGAAATTCCGCAGCAAACTGCAGCGAGGAGGTTACGGAGCAGTCCAGGAGCTCATGTTTTTCTGCAAGGCTGACGGGGCAGTACTGTCCAAACTCCCCCAGCCGATACTGCAGCTCTTCAGGGGTGATGCATAAATCAGCAATGCTGGCTGCTTTTCCTGTTAATAGCAGTAATTAATGATAAACTTTTGTTAATGAAATATATAGAAAGAATAAAGCATTTCTATATAGGAATGTTACAGTTAAGAATATTACTATATCATGTGAAATGATATGAAATAATGAGAATTCCAACACTAGTATTTTGTGTATGCTGATATTAAAATAAAGTTTCAATTTAAGTGACATTTCTGTATCATTTACTTAATAAATACAAGTATTAATGTTGTGGGATACTCTACCTGCTTAACTTATTAGTCTGTACTTTGTTTTTGTTTGCCTGTTTTCTGGGATAAGTTTATTAATGATTTGTTACTTCATTTCTTTGTGCTGTAAAGGAACATTTCAGCTATTATTTAAATTCAAGACCTTGCATAAAAATTCAGATAAAAATATTTTAAAGGCTGCTTTTCATTGATGTGAAAAAACCCCATAATTAAAAAAAATTTTTTTTGACTTATGACTAAATCTGTAAGGCGAGAGCAAGCACAGAGCTGTTCTTTGGACAACAGTCCCAGGCCGTTCTGTAGCTAGTTTGCTCTTTGCTGCCTTCACAATCTCTTCAGATGAGATCAAAGAGTCTGTAAAGCTGCATGATATTGGGTCTGGCATTGAGAGGTCTTGGAAAAATGCAGCACTCGAGGTACAACTGCAAAGGATAAGCATAAGACCTCAAAGTGCATTAGTACGCAGGAGAGTCTCAGGAGAAAAATGGCAAAGCTAATCTGATATCCTGTATCTTTCAGGAGCTAAGCTGTGAGAGAGGAAACCTGAGGAAAATTTACTTTTTCTCACTTTTTGATATAAACTCTCAGATCTTGCAGGCAATTCAGTTACAGATCCATGCAGAAAAACCTGGCTCATATAATCCAGATGGTATTAAGGAAGCCTCTGAATGTGCTGGTGTTGTCTTAGAGTTCTGCACATCCTTGGTAACTGAGGCTCAGCTTTTGGTCTAATGAACACTAATGAGTACTTTTTAATAGTCTTCTTTTTTGGGGGTGGGATTTGATGTAGCTCTTGGAGTCTGTGTCTGAAAGTTGAAGACGTCACTTTCGCTATAGCCCACCGAGTACTTAAAACACAATCCAGTGCTTTACACAAGCAGAAACAAGGCCTTTTTTTTTTTTTCAAATAGTTACTCTTTTTCTAACTAGCCTCACATTAAAATTGGCATCTAAACCTATAAACCCAGAAAGCTACCTAGTAAGTGTGAAGACAGCCAACTTAACTTTAAAGAAAATTTTAGATTCAAAAGTTTTGGAGATCCTTATATCCATTTGCCTGCTCTTACAGCTGGAATGAATGATACAAGATTTCATGTTAGAAAAAGGCCTTGCATTTGTCAAGAGAAAGGTAGGAGTTGTTATGAGCAAATCTAGTTATGAGGGGAAATAATACACAGTGAAAATGACAACTGTCATGTTTTTAACTCCAGAATTCACAAGTAACACTGTGTTTTTGTCTATATTAAGCTCTCAGCTGTATTTTCTGTGGTATCAATTAATAATTTTGTTGCTTAACTCATTTTCTAAAATAGTGCATTTTGTTGAATAGACCAGGTGCTAGATACATCAGACTTGAATGAGGCAAATGTTAAGGCAAATGTTGTGTTTTGGCTTTTCATTGTTATTCTCTTATTTTTGTTTTTTTTAATGTCTAGCAAATGACATATGCTATGAACCTTAATTCCAGCTGCACATGGTATGTATGTGCCCAAGAATTAGCTTAATCCAGAGCAAGTTAAAACTTAATTTAAATATATTTGGTACATTATAACTTCTTAAATAACTTTGTTTTTCTGTTACCTTCTCTTATTCTTTCCAAATAGATCTGGATTTCTTTAACTACAACTTGGACTTCCTGGAGTACTTTGTTCCAGATCCACCACTTGCTGTGAAAGGCATCAATCACACACCAATTCTGATGCTCCTTCTCATAGTAAGTCCTAATTGCCTCAATGTGTTGTTTATAACAGGAATTGCGGATAGCGAGAATCTGTGAGCTGTCATGTTCAGGGTAGGGATATCTGAAGACAACAGAAAGTAGCACTGATTTAATACTAAGTTTGAAGGTCAGATCATTTAACTGAATGACACATATATTATGAAATGATACCAGAGACAAAAGTCTTCCAAGTCACTTGAAAGTCACTGCTCATTGAAAAAAGAAGTCTTAATTTTGAGTTATACTGTTGTCTGAAATCAAGAAGTATCGACAGTTTTTGGATGTATTTTGAAAACTTTTTGGCTTTTATATTTACATATACATTATCGAAAATAATTCATATGACCTCTAAAAAATAATATAGAAGACCAGAAGAGGTATTTTTACTAAAACACTAGTAGTAGAGAAGTACTGACATGGTTGTTGATTTAAATGATGCCAAAGAAAGAGAATAAGATTCTCTTTCCTGTTTTAATAGGATTAATTTCTCTGTAAGAAGTACCTCTTAGAAATTGCTAATATTACCTATTTTTATTGTTTTCTATTTCACAGAATCACAGAATGGCTGAGGTTGGAAGGGACCTCTAGAGATCATCTAGTCCAAGCCCCCTGCTCCAGCAGGGACACCCAGAGCACGTGGCACAGGGTGGCATCCAGGCGGGTTTGGAAGATCTCCAGAGAAGGAGACTCCACAACCTCCATGGGCAGCCTGGTCCAGGACTCTGGCACCCTCATAGCAAAGAAGTTCTTCCTCACATGGAGGTGGAACTTCCTCTGTTTCAATTTGTACCCATTACCCCTTGTTCTGTCACAGGCCACCACGGAGAAGAGCCTGACCCCATCCTCCCTACAATCACGCCTCAGGTACTTGAACATGTTGATTAGATCCCCTCTCAGCCTTCTTTTCTCCATGCAGAACAGGCCCAGCTCGCTTAGTCGTTTCTTATATGATAGATGCTCCAGACCCTTAATCATCTTTGTGGCCCTATGCTGGACCCTCTCTGGAAGCTCCATATCCCTCTATTTAAGCTTATAACATGTAATTAGCTTGGTATTTTAAAAGATTTATTTATTTATTTTACGTAAATATTTTTAAAAGGGCAGCATTCAGTTACTTTTTGCATTGCACATAGTCTTTAGATTTTCGGTAAGTGATTAAGCATTGTACTGATTATTTGATAAAATGAAAGAGACAAAATGAGAGACATTCAGTACTGCTCTAAGCCTTCTGGAACTTCTTAGAATCATTTCCTTTAATGAGAACCAGATTCTTACACAATTTAATTTTAAGGTGAATGTTCTGTTCTTTTTAATTCTCTGTTCCTTTATAAATTACTTACTGCTATACCTCAAAAACAACCAATAGCTTTTTAGATAAAATATTTATCTCTTTAGAGAAACAAAGAAGAAAGTTATTTACAGTTTCGATGAGTAATTCATGAACTGTATGCATGTTATTAAAATACACATGGCTCCTATCTTAAAAAAAAAGACTACAGTTAAGAATTAAAGAAAAGGAAAAAAAGGCTTATTGGATAAAATACCAATTTCTGTTGTGAGGACAGTAACTAAGCTGATGAATAATAAGCTTCAGCAGCAGAGAGAACTAGTAACATATCTGATATGCAGTGTAACTAAGCAAAGCAGTGGGCACACAGCCTGTACATGTGTTTCCTCAGTTCTCCCCTGTGGGGATCTGACCCTTGGGAGGGTCTTTTCCTGTGTGGAGTTGGGAGGTCTGTGGGGTGTGCACCTGCATGAGAGAGCATGAAAGGCCTCCTAGGTCCTCCACCTTAGATGTGACAGCCTCTCAGGGTACTGCACTGGGGTATAGCACTGCACAGAGAGATTACAATCTTTGCTTGGTAAGAATATTGCTGTCATGGAGCATAACTACCTATTTGTGTTGTCCTTATCTGACAGTGCTCTTCTGAACACTTCTTTTGTTTCCATTTCCAGCTCAAAGATTTTCACTGGAATTATCCTAACCGATTCCAGGAGGTTTACTTGTTTCCTTGTTAGAGGGTATCCATCAATAACAACTCTGCATACAAACAGAAACAGAGACATATTTTCTAACAGGTTGGTTCTTACTTAATAATTCACAAATGATCAACTTGTGCTAAAAATACTCAAAATATATTCTCAATAAACACAAAAGTCTATTCCTATGCCATCAAGTTCAGTGATGTCCTGATTTATTAGATACAGTATCCACCCCAAAAACTTACAAAGCACTTAATTTTTTTTTTTAAACTAGATGGAATAAGAAATGGTAAAGAGCAAAGGGAATACACAAAGGATAAAAGTTATAGGAACCTAAGTGGACAGCTCTTACTTACCACAATGGTGGAGTTTTCAGTTCTGACATCAGTTATGCAGAAGTTTAGTTTTAACTGTGAGGAACTTCCATAAGGATTAGGAGAAGTAGTCTTCAAAGTGAAAAATAAAATAACTTATAGTACTTGAACCATTTTTTAAAGCACATTGGAGAAAAAAAAACCTTTTTTTCACTTGCTCTGCAATGCTGGTGCAACATAGTCTTAAAACACCATTCCAATAGTTAACATGGAAGAACAGTTGAAAAAATTCTGGTCTCAGGCTCAAATAATTTTCAAGATTGGTCTGGAATTGCCTTTTATTTATTTATTTTTTTTTTAGGAGAAGAGTTGAAGTTCACTGACTTGATAATAAAACAAAATGCTTTTTCATATAGCACAGTTTACAAGTCTTGGGAATAGCGCCTAAGAAATATCTGTTCCCTAAGAAGTAAGGTGGTAAGAATCAGTTTTCTGATCCTCCTTAACTTCAACTGCTGATAAAAACAGAAAAAAAGTCCTGCAGAACTGAACTGCCAGTGTGCATTACTGGAGAGAATCAGATCAGTTTAAGTTGGTACAAGAATAGCTATGAGAGAGAGAAAATGGCAGTTCTCAATGGAAAATGACATACTGGCTTCTGTCTGAAAAAAAAAAAAAGGTAACTTTCATAAACATATTGCTGGAGTTTACTGGAACATACTTACTTGAAAATTGCAGAAAAGTATGTTTCAGAGTGCTTTTTCAGATTAATGTGGAGATCCTATTTCCCACTTCATTGTGGACAGAAAGGTTATTAATGAATAAACCACTGACGTGTTTTACTGAGACAGTTTGTTTCACACAGATAACATAAGCATCACTGCCTATGAAAGGACAGACAGCCCCAGGAAAAAAAAAAAGCCCTCAGAACCCAAATAAGCCTCTTACCCAACAGTAGTGCAGATGTGATTCATCAGAGTCACATCTAGAGCCTGGACGGCCAGTTCGTCGGGTACGGTCAGTCCTTTATGAAGATGCCATTTTATCACAAGTGCCAACTCACTTTGTGGCTGCTCGTTTAACACCAGCCGTATGGCATCCCCCACAGTCAGGCGCAGGAATCCATATGTGCTTGCAAATTTCTTGGCAACTGCAAAAATTTAGATTTTAACACTCAATTTTCACGTAAGCATAATCAAAAGCCAGCAGCCTGTTGAAGTCCTCGGTCAGTCCTACTCTGGGTCATTTCCAACGCAGATTCTTGGTGAGCGGGGACCTACATCTGCTTAAGGGGCTCAAGGGCCCGGCCCTTTAGCTTTGTGTAGCCTAATGCACTAATAGCATTCAGTACAATGTAAATCACAGCAGACATTATCAGTTTTATTCAAATATATGTTAGAAAATACGCTATCACTGCCCACAGAACAGATTAGCTGTTAGATCATTTATCCAGCAAGTAGGAAGTATGGATATAATTTCCTCCTTAATATGAAATGATTTAAACCCGTCTCTTCCATTTTTGACCTAACCATTAATTTCTGATATAAGCTGTGTATTCCTCTTTAGTTGAAGGCAGACATCTGTGGATTGAGAGAGTCATGGAGGGAAATGGAGAGCAGTGGAGGGAAAGATGGAAAATCTTGTTTCGCAATCTAAAAAAATAGGCACCAGGCTGGAGAAGGCAGTGTTTTGGGTTCTCATCCTTGATCTTAGGAATATGTCTTCATTTTATGTTGCATCATGTTGGTTAAAGGAAATGAGAAACAACTAGAAAATAATCCAAAATAAGCAAGAGTTATAAATAATACTAGTTTAGATTTTGTGAGTGCCATCCTCTGTCTTACAGGTAATACTGGTTTGTACCTGTAGTCTTCCCAGATTTTGGAGGTCCAACAATTGCAATCTTGATTGGCATGGCTGGTTTAGGTTTCGGTTGACAGATATATTTGATGGGATTTTTCATAAATTTTTCTTTATTTTCTTTACTTGAAAGGAAATAAATATATTGCCGATGGATTACAGGATAGACTGGGTTTTCATGGCTCTGTGGTGATCTGATTATATCTCCTTCACTTAGCTGTAGCATATGAAAAATAGGAAACAGTTAAATAGGTTTGACATAGCCTCCTCTTTTACCATCCTACAGAAGTGGCTTCGTGGGCAGGTAGATGACTATCAGCTACTGAAAACAAGGCATCAAAAGCTTCAGAAATACTGAATTACCTCAGACATAATGTCCTGTGTGCGTCTGAGGAACTTGCATACTTAGGTAATTCTTGTGCGGAAAGATACGGTGACCGTTAAAGAAAGAATATTCACTTTTTCCAGTAGGTGGCACCATTACACTTTCTGTCCATGGAGAGGGTATGATCAGAGAACTGCAGTATATTTTTAAAGGCTACTGATGGAATATTTTCAAACACATCAGGAAGCCTGATAAGCAGCTTATAGTGCCAAGGGGTAACTGAGATGTAAGAAGAGCAGGAAAGGCAGAAATAGTCATTACAGAAATGCTAACTGAATTCCTTGCACCACTGTTTGCTCAGGAAGAACTTAGGGATGCCTTTATTGCAGCAGTTCTTGAAGAAACTGCCTTTAGAATTAGATTTTTTTAGAAAAAAAAATGCCAAGCCCAGGTAGGGTTCATGTTATGGTCCCAAAGGCAGAAGTTCTGAAGTGGAACTGTTCAATTTCTGATGTATAACTGATGCATAGACTAGTCCTTATGTTGACCTTCCTTCCACAATACGGAAGGGTAGAAAGAGTGACCAATTTTGAAAAAAGGCCTCCGGGATGGATCCCATTAGCCACAGTCCAGTAAGGTGTCCATATAAAATAATGGGGAAAAGTCAACTGTACTTCTGCAGTAGAAGGGAAGTCGTGTCTCACAAGTTCATTTATGTTCATTTTTGAGGGGGTCAGCAAGCATACAGATGAGATGATTGCTCTGCTGCACAGTATTACCTTGCCAGGCCCTTCTCTAATACTTATACTCCTGTTACTGCATCAGGCCATTTCAGGCTGCTTGCCCTCAATTTATCAGATATCCAGAGTCTGCTCTTCATTTTAGTAATGTAGATTTCATTAACTTTTACTGGTGTTACTTTAAACTGTTTATTCTTTTCTGTGAAATATGTTACTGTAAAATATTACTTCTGAAATATTATTTAGCTATAAAAAAATTACCTTGACTGGATCCCACTGACCAAAAGAACTTGGATATTTATATGAGAAAATGAGCATCTTATGTGCAAGTGGCAAACTTATTGGGTAGCATTTCTCAAAAATGCTTCTGCGATTTTCCACCAGAGGATTCAAATTCTTATATATTCGGTAGCGTACAATGTGAGGCTTCCGTTCTCCACCGATCTCGATTTGAGGTATTAACATTCTTTCAAATTCTTCCTAGTGAATGAAAACACAATGAAATATTAGAATCATAAACATGATCAGATTTGTAATGATGGGTGACAGCAATATTGTCTATGATTTCTTGAGTGTATTCTCATTGTAAATCAGTGAAATTCAATTTAATATGAGATAAGAATTGGCCTTTCTGCCCTTCTACATTTAAGTTACAGTTAAGACTATATTTGACTTCAAGGAATCTACTATGGGGAAACTAAAGTTTAAGAGGTATCTTTTATAAGAAACAATCAAATGTCATTCTTTCCGCATTCCTCACAATTTACAATAGATTATTTAGCTACTGTATAAAAGTATTGCTCCTGTCTGCTGACTAAAATACAAATATATCCTATTTTCTACAGGGCTTTTTTAGGTACCTAACATTTTTACTGTAGTGCTACTACATTTTAATGTCAGAATTTATTCTTTCATGAAAGACCAAGGTTCCACAATGCCAAAGAGGACCAACAGTTACAGGAACAGGTAAAAATAAACAAGTCTGAAATAATGAATCAGAAACAGTAAGTTATTTAAAGTTTTTAAAAAAGCATAAATGTTCCTGGAGTCAAAAATAAGGGCAAAAATTTTGAGTAGGCTCTAACTGGACATATTAGAAACATGCAGTACTAATATAAAATTCCATTATATATTACTGTTGGTGTGTAATTCTTCAAGGTACATAAAATATTTATGAACTGAATCTTATGTACTGAATCTTTCCACTACCACTCAAGACCCACTACAATAGCAATCTCTGAAACAGTAGACAGCTCTCCTGTCACTGAAGAGCACATACTTCTTGAGAGAAATAAAAATTGCCTTCTTAAATTCTTGTTCCTTTTCTGCTGCAAGTTTTCATGAGTTCACTAATGCAACACACTATACAGTCTCAAATGTCAGAGTGGGAAATAGAAAATGTTCAAAGAACTGTCGTATTCAATTAGCTTCAACCTAAAACATTGTATTGCTCATGTAAAGGCTTAGTATTTTCCCTATGTCAAGACTATGACAGGAATTTTTTATTGTCTTTCAATGGCATTATCCTAAATTCTATCTAATTCCACTTTTCAAATCTAGGTCATTGAAATTAGCCACATGCTTCATTTTGAACCCATAAAAATAATAAAAAATGTAAGTGTTTGGATGCATGATTATATATACTGTTCATAAAAATGTTCAGTAAAGATAACATATTTACAGTTACTTTTCAAAGCTGAATGCACTTTCAAGTCACGTTCCTCCAAAATTCTCAGGAAGTGAGAATCTCTGGACACAAAACATTAATCTTTTTCCACTAAACTTACACTTCTTTGAAGTGCAAAGAAAATTAGGAGTTGTTTTTTTTTTCTTGATTTTCATGACAGTTAATCCATTAAGTAGTAAAATAAAATTAACTTTGAATCAATTAAAACTTATAGTGGCGATTTTCCAAATCTTATATCTACCTCTTTCACTCTGATCAGTGAAGAGAGGTTCTAAATCATGTTAATTTCCTCCTAAAATAAAATGCTTGGAGTAAAGTAAATGAATGGCACTTATCTACTTAAACAGACATAGACATTTACACTGCACATATCTGGATTAGATGAGATTATTTCATTGTAGATGTCACTGAGTTCAGAAACATAGATCTGGGAGTACAGCTGTACTTAAATATTTACTCTGTATTAAAGGGGTTTTATTTTCTAATCTGACTTCTATGCTCTGGGATATTTCAGGTTTTGATGTGGCTGAGTCCACATTCACATTTAAAAGACATCAAATCCTGATTTTTTTTCTCTATTTAAACACATAATATGTCCACTGATTTTAATAACTCTATGGTAATAACTACTGCATAAAGAAATTGAGGTTGTCTAATAAGAGTAGTGACTTAAAAATAACATATGGAATTTTGTTCCTATATTTATAATCCTTTAGATTGGTTCCCAGCCTCAACCAGCCTATTAAGAAGGAAATGATACTCCCAAGGCTGTATGGGTCCATCCAAATTTTTATTTGTTTTTGTTTCCTAACAATATTACTTGGTCTTATAAATCATGTATTTTGTAAACTATATACCTTCTGCATATTCATATTGTCATGACTTCAGCAAGTATCACTCAAATGCTGTAGCTTTGAAATCTGACCATTAAAATAAACCAAAAAAACCAAAAGCTCTTCTTAACTCCTGTGATAAAATAAGGTACCTGTACGCCTTGTAAGTGATCTCTGTCTGATTCAAACTTTTCTACAATTTCGTTTTGTATACGTTCAACAGCATCAGACTCTTGTTCTTCTTCAGTTTCTTCCTCTTCTTCTTCTAAAAACTCTTCTTCAAGTATCGCTTCAATATCCTCATTTTCATCCTCATTTTCACTGTTTTCATCATATTCCTTATTTGTTAAAGTAAATAAATGCAAAATATTAGTTGTTTCCTGTCTATGATACGGATGCTTTCAAAGAACATATAGTATTTCTTTCATTTTGAAAAATCATAATTCAACCAAAATTCCTTTTTGGTAGCTTATCAAAAGCAAAATCTAGCAGCTCACAGAATAAGCTTTTCGGAAGAAAACAGATATTACATAATGCACACAACGAAGCACTATACCAATTCCAACAGTGCTTGAAAAACTGCAACGCTACATTGCATTTTGGCAGAGTAATTTTTTATGTGTTTGGTACTGTAGTTTGGAGAGACTTTGTTACAAACAGGCTTGTTAGCTGAAAGCATACTTGACAGCATTTCATAAGCACTCAAGTAGTCCATTAATACATATATAAATATGTTTTGTAGTTGAATTTGTGCAGAAATCCTGGTACAGTCAGATGCAAGTTAATGGATTTGACAGAGTACTTAAACAGCTGCCTGACCACATTGACTGTGGCTAAATTAGTTATGCTAAATACATTTATAAGTATTTTGCTGATCTGGGCATCATATGAAGAATTTTAGTGTTCAGGGTTTTAGTGTTTAGATGGTAGTTTAGTGTTGAGTCATTGGTTTCTGAAACATTTAAACATGTCAAATTATTTGCAAAGCCGAGCTTTCTGACAATCAATTACTTTTTTACTGTTCTAAATTGCCCTTAAAACTCTGTAAAAACTCTAGAAATTTCTGAGAGATAAGAATACAAACACTGCTATAATAAATATTTTAATTAACCTGTTTTCTTACCTCCTGCTTCTTTTTTTTGTGTTCTGCCAAAAGTTCTGCCCTTCTTCTAGCCATCTTCTTATCCTGTTAGTTAAAAAAAAACCTAAGAAAATAATAGTATTTGCTAATAAAACGTCTCTGAGAACTCTGAAGTGGAAATCACCTTTAAGTGAGTTTTATCCTTTTTTAGGATGGATACATATTTCAATCAACAGTGTGATATAAAAGGCTTTTAAACACTTGGATAATCTTCTGCACTTATGATAGGTACAATTGGTAACGTCACTTAGAAGTGATGTTCTTTTCTGCCTTTTCAGTGTTTCCAGTTATAAATGCAAACAGAGAGGCAATGGGCAGGCGCATTCTCTCCCATTTAAGGCCACTGGGTGTTGAGAGGATTCAACTGTTAAGTGCTGCTAACTTCTTGATACCATAAGGGCTTGTCCCAAACTCCCCTGTACTAACTCGCTGTGCATCAGCTGTCCGTAGGAACTTATGTTCAGGTCTCTTCTGAAAGTGCTTGTGAAGTACTACCTCTCACTTCTGTAGGAAGTTAGGAACCTTGAAGGTTTTGCATGTGTGTAAATGTCTGCATAAAGATTTCACATTATTTCAAGGTAGCTGTCATATGGTGGCCTGTTCATTTGTTCAGCTCAGAGACTGCACAGCTGCAGTGACATGGAGAGTGTGCCTTAGTGCTCTTACATTTCTGTGCAGGGTATCACAGCTGGAAACACACGCACATTCACTGAACAGTGCCCCTATGGCAGACACAGATCAACTCAACAGCCCGTGTTCAGGGCACCCAGGGTGAAACAGCACCTCTGTGCTTGAGCTGCAGGCTTGATGTTTTATGGCCATATTGAGTTTCTCTGTCCAGCTGCCTCTTGTCTGGGATATTCCAGATGTCTGGCCTTCTGCCAGGCTGGCTGCTGTCTGGCAGACCAGCTGCTTTGCCTGGGGTGCCAGACACCTAAAACTTGTGCACAAATTAACTGCATTGGGCAGTGTTAATGTGGGAGAGACAGAGCAGGAGAGGAGCTTTGTAGTTTCTCCAGTTCCCGTGGAAAATCAGGGAATGCTGTGAACGTGTGAGGCTGCGGCTCCTGGCTGGTTTCTCTGTGTGCTCTTTCCTGCACACAGGAAAGAGTATCTGTGTTTCTGAAACTGCAATTAAGGAGACAGTGCTGAAAACCTACCCTTATTTTTGCTTTCAAGTCTTTCAGTTTCTTTTTGGTTTCCATTTTTTTATCATGTGTTTCTCTCCATTTTTTCATACGTGAAGGTAAAAGACGGTCAATAATGTCGCTTTCTTCTACTTGAATATAAACTGCAACATCAGGGCAGAGTCCTCGCTCTGACAAATACAGGGCTTCATCTATAGTGCGAGGGAAACCATCCAGTATAAATCCAGTGGACCTGATTAAAAAAAAAAAGATATTTATCATTACACAATGTACACATTTCAACACAGTGAAAACGGAGTGAATCTGCAAAAATAATTTTAAACTCCCTTATTAAAATATATTTTAATAGTAAATAAAAATATTTTCCTGTGCTATTACTCTTCAGAATGCAAAAGTGATATTTCTCTGTGTATTTAAATTATTATACCAACAAATACCGAACTAATACCAACAAAGGCCTAACTAAACTTTTGATGTTTTAGGGTGCTGAGATTAATGATTAAAAAACTAAACTAAAAACTAACTAAGCCAAAGTAAGTCATATCTTTAATGTTGTTTTGTGACCCTAAAGCTTATTGTTCTAAGACACTGCTCTCAAACCATGTGAAGACACCCCAAACATTATTCTCGTAAAGTTCGTCACAGCAAGTTTACTGACAATTTATTTTTCAAAATTACTGACATTTTTTTTCTCCAGTATAGTACAAGAACCTTGCCACTCAGCATCACATGTATCTCCTCTCCTGCAGGTGTCGAACCAAGTCAGATGCACCTGGAAAGCTCTATGGCTTGTTGGAGCTCTTTCATTCTGACAGATGAGCTATCCCATAAAGCTGAATGTTGTGTTAACAAGAATACTTCTATTTATTAATGTAGACAAGAAATTGATGTGTACAAGACATTCTAAAACTGTGGAAAACCAAAGGAAATCCAAGGAGCGGTAGAGAACGGAAGAACAGGTGGTCCTGGATATTATAGAAAAAAAAACTTTGGGGGAAGATATATATCATGAAATGATGAAAATTTTCCTTTACTATGCAGACCTTGAGAAAACAGAATTTATATAATACGATATAACTCTTTATACTGGTGGCCAGTGAAAGGACAAGGGGTAATGGGTACAAGTTGAAACACAGGAAGTTCCACCTCCATGTGAGGAAGAACTTCTTTGCTGTAGGGGTGCCAGAGCCCTGGAACAGGCTGCCCAGAGGGACTGTGGAGTCTCCTTCTCTGGAGATCTTCCAAACCCGCCTGGATGCCACCCTGTGCCACGTGCTCGGGGTGTCCCTGCTGGAGCAGGGGGGTTGGACTAGATGATCTCTGGAGGTCCCTTCCAACCTCAGCCATTCTGTGACAATCATTTAGTATCTTAACATTATGTGTAATGTATCTGTGTCCTGGTACCTTCTTCTAAAACTGATCTTTCTGCTTTTACAGTTAAGAGAATGTTGTCTTCCTGTCTGTGGACTGACAGGACAAAAGTTTATTGGAGAAGCACATTTATTACTTTTAAGGCATTTCTCATACTGCCAGTGATTGCAACCTAGTGGTCAAGTTTCCAGCATCTGTATGGAAATGAAAGGAATAGGTAGGATATGGAAAAAGGGATTTTAGCAGCTTAAAGTATGTCCTGAAAAGCCTTAAAACAATATACCCTCTAGAAATAATTTATCCGATTTATTTATGTAAAAACATTTCATATTTATTATGACATACTAGATGTACTTTCTGATCTGAGCGAGTGTCTGCTGTAGTTACATAACTAGAGCAGAGATTGCAATGAGTTAACAGAAGATAACTGATTCTGTCATTTTGGAGACCACTGATATTTTGTTTTCCACATAATGTTTATAATATGTGGAATCCACATATTTACAGCTGGATTTCAGCTCTCTATGTTTACGAGCTATATGAAAACATAAAACATTTACTGTCATATCTCTTCTATCTGCCTACCAGAACTACATGGCTATTGTGATAGAAGATGGGAAGGACCAACTATTCAAAGGATTTTATCCAGATCAAGTGCCCTTGAAGTTTTCTCTAGCACTGTGTACAGCACATAAAACATTATATTACTATCAGAATTTCAATCAAAAGAGCATACCAAAAACTAAGAATGAAAGGTAGGTCATGTTTCATAAGAACAGGAGCATGTGAAATACTGTCTGCAATAATTATTTATAACTGTGGACAGAACGGATAAAACCTTTATTAAGATTAGCTAAAGAGAGAGAGAGAGAGATAAGCTAAATACAGTTACCGGAATGGCTCTTTCGTCCACCAGTCAAGAACAATATTATCAAGCACTTCCGGAGGCAAAGCCTCATTTTCCACTAGATTTGCTTTAATCGCTTCTTCCTCCTCAGTTAACTCTATTTCCTTGACGAAAAGAAAATCCACAAAAGTGAAAAACACAAAGAGAAAGATTTCTGTGATATATCGATTGTTTTTTGACTGACTAAGGTTAAAAGCTGTCTGAATACTGGTTACTGTCTTCGTTTCATTTAATCCAGCAGAAACGAAACAAACTCATTTGCTCTATTCCTCTGTATTATATTATATATAAAATGCCTGGTTGGCCTATTTTTGTGGTATTTTCCCCTGCTTACAGTTGGGTAATTCCCTAGAGTTGAGACAACTTTACATCAAGCTGAAGGGACAAACTGGGGGCTGGCAATATCAGGAGTTTCCCTCTCCACAACTGAGGTAGCATTTGCCCTTAGCTGGTGCTACCTCATCTTTTGCCAATAATAGATATAAAAGTGGGCCTCAAAAACCCAGAAAAAAACATATTATAGTTTCCACAATTGCACATAAAAATTATAGTAAAATAAGAATATAAAGACTACAAAAATTGTAAGGCAGCATTACATATAAATGTAACTTTACAAAGCACATGCTTACACTACTAAAAGCAATCTCCAAAGTGCTCACAGGTACAATATGCTCTGCTATCTGCACACCTTTAACTTCACCTAACTCCACTCACCTAACTCACCTAACTCCACTAGCCTTTGACAATTAATAATAATAATAATATGCAGATTGGTACTTGCTCTAAAAACTGGCCTGGAAAGCACATTTGTTAGGTGTGACTGTGAATATTGAGCAGTTCTGTAAATGGTCTCAAGTTAATCTGAGAAAAAATAAATCTCAGGCCACTGTCAATAATCCTATTTTGATAATTTAATTGTAGTTAGTAGCAGAAGCAGTGATAAATCTGCTTCTCCAGAGTAGCACTGAACTATATAAGGCAGAAGACCTTCTCAAAGTTCTTATTTTCTGCTCACCTTTCAACTTTTTACAGGTTCATCTTCAACAACATGTAAAGAAAATAATACATAAGCAAGAAAACAGTATATAAGCAAGAGATCTTTTGAGCAACCATCTGTATCTGAGAATGTAGCTCGTGAAGGGTGGTTATTAGCATTTTAGTTTGGAATAGGAAACAAATCTACTTATCTTCCCGATGCTTTGCTTCACAGCACAAAGAGGTCTTGGACTGTGAGAGCAATACTCCTTTTGAATAAAACTAAACTGGACAATGTAGTCCAGGAGGACTTCCTACCATTAACATGTTGCAGCAAAAAATGGCTGTTAATTCCATTGGACCAGGTTAGAACTGGTCCGAAGAAGTTCTTAGCCTTTCACCCTGAAATATGTATAGTCTTTTGGTCTTTAGTATTAGTTTTTTTTTTAACCTTACAGAGCCATCTCTAATTAGCCACATAACTTGCTAACTTATCCTCAAAGCAAATATATGTTGCTAATGACAATGGCTATTGTCGTTATTAACATGGTCACAGAATAGCCATTCTGTGAGTAGGATACTAATGCGCAGCAATAGGGGAGTGAAATGGGAAGGAGGAGCGAGCAAATTAGAGTATTCAGATACCTTTATTTCTACCATTGCATAGTTGTAGAGTGTTGTACTTTGTCTTTATGAGTTTTATGTTTAATAATGCTACTACCTTCCAGTAACTGTTTCATCAACACACTTGAGGCATGGGAGGCTTTCAGATAGGAAGATTTTCGCTTAAAAACACTGCTTGTTAGGAACACAAGAATATTGCATGTCCTTATGATCCTGCTCCTAAGGGCATGAACAGAATAGTTTGGGCACTGTCCTCAGTTCCTTCTCCATGTTAAATTCACATGAAAGCCTGGGAGGAAGGAAAGCAGGTCCTTCTGTCTTTCAGGTCCCAGATATTATCTTAATAAAAAATCAATTCCTGTCAGTAGCATAGTCAGTAACTCTTTTTCTTCCTTGAGTATGTGTAGATGTTGTTCATGGTACATGGTATTTTTTTTAAAAAAAGTCCTGCCATCTCCAGAAGATGGAAACCAGGTGTTTAAATAAGGATTTAAGAACTTCCTGTTCAACCTGGGTAATTTTTTCTGAAGTTGACACTGGGAGAAAATATATGAGCTCTGTGGAACTGATCTACACATTTTCATTATCACTATTTGATAAAATTTTCTGCTGAGTTAGCTTACGCTGTCATCAAATTAAATCCAGTATACCGTCAATGTGTATGTAGTATATAGTAATCCATTTACTGATAGTATATGTTCTTCTGATACAATCTGCAGTTCATTTTGTAAATCTCCGATTTCCTTGTCTCTGATCCCATGAGAAAATTAACAGTTTAGTGGACTTACGAGTATCTGTACATATATTGTAAGAATGCATTTTTAACTTCCTAATTGTGTAGCTTTGCTTCTTAAACAAATGTATTCATGAATGTGAGTGAATATAAAAGAGTTACTAGCTTATCCTGTTACGAACACTGAATATTTCTCATTCCTTAACAAGGGATGATCAGACCAAAGGGCTAGTAGATTCCATCTATCATTTTTGTCCCAAGAGATTGCAGAGAGCACTGCTGGTGAACATTTCTAAACTCCCATGTAATTGGTCTATGTGCATCAGATTGAAGCCATGTAAATAAATACTTGAAGAAAACTAAACCTTCTCATTATTACTCTGAACTTTGTTTTTCTAATATCTTCTTCCTTTGCCCTTTTTAGCAACTATCTGTACTAATTTAAAAATAAATACATGTTTTTAATTCTAGGAAATGTTTTGGAGAATGCTTATGGCACTCACAAGAAAGTGTTGTCAGGAAGTACATTATTTTACTGGAAAAAAAGTGTTATTCCCAATTTTTCAAGTTAACAATTTAACACAAACAATTTTTAAACAAGCCAGAATTTCATTGGAAGTTGCTATGCTGGCCTAAAAAATGGTTTTTTTATGTGTGGGCACAATAAAAATCTATTATTACCTGTTCTCTTTTCTTTTCAGATTCACGTTCAGGTTCAATTTTAGTTCCAGTCATAGTCAAAGAGAAGTCTCCCAGTTCCTGTGAAAGAGCTGCTATTTTGCTGTCATCTTCTTCAGGTTCTTCATCAAAATCAGGCCCAACCTTCTTTTTAGTTTTGCGTATCATTATTTCTTGTAGATATTCTTCAAACTGAATATGGAAAAGGCCCATTTTATCTGCTACCCATCGTGCACAAGTAGTTTTACCTGCTCCATGAGTCCCCAGTAAGCACACTCTTAAGGGAGGTGCCTGTAGGGGAAAAAAAGAATAATAATAACAATTTGGACTCTGCTATGCTTCTTCTACTTTTTATTTTATTTTTTTTCAATTCAAGAATATTGTTATAAAGATCACCTCAAGAACAGTCATTTTGCATTTTAAGTGTTCCAGGTCCTCACTAGTGTTTCAAATAGACTACCCGCTCTCTGGAAATATTGAACAAATACACTACAACGGGTGTTGCCAGTAGGTAAAAATGAAAGCCTACTATACAATCCTGGTAAATCTACACATCCCTTACCTTTCCTTCGTTAATGAAAAAAAGTGTTAAAATAGTAAAAATAACAATATTTGTCATTTGTTAATTGTTGTTGCTTCCCATGATTATTGTAAACCTTTAGCATCTTCCATCTTTTCTGCTTTATCTGCATGCTTCATTCAGTGTGTTAATTTAAATGTACACTATAAAGTCATTAGGGAAGAAAGGTCCTTCAGGGGCTTGCCTGGTATACGTATCTCTACTTAGAAAATAAAATCAGAAATAATACATTACTACAATGAGCAATGGAAGGTAGTGACTTTAATCTGTTGTTATCAGTCTACTTCATTTTTAAAGATTCTGACCTGTATTGGTTCCTTGTGAGCCACATACTCCTCAGGGTTCTCCAGAAACTTATCTCTGTTCTCAGAAGTTGAAAAATAATAAATCTTTTCTTGATATTTAGCTGCATGTTCAGAGAGTCCTGGGTAAAGGACGAAATTCTCTTTCAGACTGACTGGACAAAAGTGTTTTGTGTCTCCCATGTGCCTTTTCTTCTCAATCCGTTTTTCTTCTTCCTGAAAAGTTTTTGAAAAATTCTGAGAACTGTTTGAATTATGTAGAAAAACACAATATTGAATATGATGATGAAGTACTGAATCAGAAAGGTATCCTCAAAACAATTTACATTTTAAGTGTCTTTTACTATTTCTCATATTATTTCTTTCTATTACACACAGGTCCAAAAAAAATGACTTCTGTGTTAGAATGCAAACTACATTTCTAAATTATGAAATTAAAGAACTTCCTTAGAAGTTAGAAGATGCAATTCTGTCTAACGGCTTGAAATATCTATAATAAAAAGCTTTCCTACTCTTGTTCTTAAAATACACTTCCTCTTACTTCTAAATGTGGAGAAAAAAGAAGATCTCTTCAGAAAAGGCAATGAGCATTATGAAATCAGATCATATATCTAATTAAAATAATGTAAGTATCTATTTAATACTATTCCAGTGCAGTGTATGTGTATTGCATGCTCATCAGTTTTAGGGTAGCCATCTTCCTGAGTAGGATAAAAACAAAAGAATGGTGAAGCTAGACCTTCATTTTCATTTAAATGGATGCTTGCAAATTATCAGTAGTTGAGATGACACAGAGGACTACGCATTAAGACTTCTACTCTGTATTTTCTGCTTGTTGGTTGAAGGAAACAAGGATCACCTTTGCCTTTTACATTTTATTGGAGAAGAAGTGGAGTTTAGCATATTTTAATGTAGGGAATAATTCGTCTCTCACTAATGAAGAATGTAGTTCACAAATGGCATACCATTTCCTAGGAGTCCAAACTTGTTTTTAGGATTGTAAGTTTGAAGATACAGAGTGTCATGTGGTTTCAGTAGATGATCAGATAATATTTTTTATATCTAATGCTGTTTGCCAAAATTATTTGGCTAACAATACGACTTCATTTGTCATTGCTACACACTATTTCCTACTAACTTAAGGAAAAATTCATAAAGAAGTATATCTAGGCATGTGGTCTAGTGGTAATCTGAAAATTGAAATGTGGCATTGGGCCTGCTCTCCGAGTAATACTAATTTGGGAGAAGTCAAGTTAGATCTAATTGTATGTCTTCCTGATATCTCCTCCCTCATTATCTCACCAAACTAACTACAGTCATGGTCTCTACCAGCATGAAGTAAAGCTTCCTGCTGGAATAGAACTATTAACAGCCAGCACATAGAAATATGATACATGTTTCTTAAGCATATACTGGATCACACAAAATCATCTGCAAAATCTACTTTATCTGAGGCTATGTTCAAACTGAAAATAAGTGAGTTAAATTAAAATCATAAATGAACAAAGCCAATACGCTTACTTCATCTTCATTTTCCTCTTCCTCAGTTTCATTTTCTTCTTCAGCTTCTACTTCAGCAGCCAGGTCTTCTGCTTCCTCATCTAAGTCTTCAGCAGCTAACACCCAACCATGATACTTAAAAGGTTCTGAAAAGGGATTTTTTTTTCTGTTTCAGTGTTTTTCATTTGGGTATGTAAAAAATATGTTTTCTTTGCTCATAAAAGTAAGCACATGTGTGAAAGCAAATCATGTCAAGTGTATATTGCACTTCCCCTACACATAAAACAAACTGTTTTCCAGGTTGTTACATTAATACAGTGATTTCCCCCAAAGCTGAATATTTACTGGTTTGTTTTTTAACTGGAGTAAATCGATATTTTCAAGCAGTATTCCTAGTGAAAAAGGATTATACAGACACATAAAGATATTGGCATTATGCTTGCAAGAGTGTTTTTCATGTTATTCACTGGAGAAAATCTTTTAAACAAATTATTAGTCAATTTTTATTTGATTATAAAGGTAGCATAATATTCATTTTGGTTAATAAAATACTTGCATCAGCATAATTATAGCAAAACATATTATTAATATTATTTATTTGATAATTAGAATTGTTAGAGATTTGAGCGCAGGCAAATATTTGCTGAAAAATCTTAATACTCTAAAAACCCTCTCTTAAACACAATCTGTGCAAGTGGGTGGATCATTACACATCCTGAAAGACTCACTGGCTTCAATGAATATTGTACACGAGTGAACTTTCATTACACAAACAGATAGAGTAAATGACAAAAAATGTGCGGTCAAAAAGCCTAAGGAACTATCATATACACATTTTTATAGTTAATATTTTTAAAAAATATACATTTAACTCACTATTTTATATAATATTTAGCTAGGCTGTTGGAGTCCTTTTCAGATCACCCACAGAATGCAGTGTGCTCTGCTCCCACCTGATGTGAGTGATTTAGAAGTCAACATACTCCTCCCCACCCCAATACATTCATAAGACAAGCTCTACAAAATCCTTCTGAGTAGGTTCAGTGCAGATCACAAATGGCACTACTTACTTTCCATGACCAGGACGATCTGGTCAAGTAGACTTTCTGGGCTTTGCTCAGCAATCTCTAGAACAGCAACTTGAACCAGAGGTGAATCACTGATTCCTGACTCCACTGTTTGCCAGTCATGCATGAAAAGGTCAATCTTCGTTTTAACTACTTTCATTTCTGGTACATCTGGGAAACCATCCTCTGGAAACTCGGGTAGTGTGATTTCTGAAAACCAAATTGTATTTAGAAGACAATGCTAGTCTAAAACATTCTGCATGGAAAAATTACCACTACATTTCAATTGTTCTCAAATGTGGTGGCACAATTTTTGATATTCAGCTTCTTTTTCTCCCCTTGTAATTATTCAATTACTATTTTACAATAAGATTTTGCAAATGCCAAGTTCATCATGTTGACATAGTACATATTATTGCTTCTCCCGGAAAACAGAAAAGAACCAGTTATTTAACTAAACCAAGCAACTAAACAAATAATGCTTTAAAGGCCTATTGGTAGTTCTTCAATTTTATTGTTTTTAAATACTAATAATTTCCATTTAGATTGAGTAATCTGTTGATAATTTCCATTCTTCACAGCCAAATGAATCAGCATAGTGAAATGACTGTGAAATGCACTTTCCTCGATGAAACAGATATTGCCCCTATTTATCCTAGTGAACGCAGAGAGAATTTGCAACTGTTGACTGGGAAGTTACCTCCCAAAAACAGAGGAGTTGCATCATCTTGAAAGTCACTGTGCTATCCATAGGTTTCTCTTACACTTCCGGCGAAGCCCTGCAAGCAGGAACAGCCTTGGAGTGTGATTTGTGTGATGTTCCCGCTGCAGTTTCTCAGGCATATGCTTATGGGGAGAATACACTCCCTTTTGCAGACCAAGGCATGTGGAGACATGACCTGTATCTATCCCAGTGACCTACAAAGGCCATATACTGGTGCTATGAGGTGCTGCAGATGCAGGTGTGTGTGGTATAATTGTAAGTACTAAGTAAGAGGCAGAAGCGTAACCCTTTTCTCTGGACACTGGAAATCATTCATAGACATACAAAGAAAATAAAAGATTGTGGATCTAATGCCCCAGCCAATACACTGCAGAACAAGGACTGTTTTTGTAAGTGACATAATATTGTAACTGTGTAATAATAATAATCAAATGCGTAAATGGAAATAAAGTAAAACAAAAAATATGTATCATGGCTTCACATGACCAATATTTGGACTGAGAAACTCTCACAAAAATGTTTGCCTTAATGAAGGCATTGCTGCATAACAATAACTTGTTTTATGAGTACGAGAAAGAAGAGACTATCTCATAAGGTGTGTTGTGCAAAAATATAAATTGCCAACTGTCAGTTGTTTAAGATCAGAAAAGTACAAACCTGTTTCATAACACCGCCTCACAAAAAGTAAACCAAATTAGAGATTGAAAGAATGCGGTCATCTAAATAAGAAATTTGCAGATCCTACTCATGACAAGCATGAGAAAACTGGTTATGTACTACCACGCAAAAAGTGTTGGTGTGCTTACTGACCAAAACCCAAGGGATAGCTGCTTCTACCACCATTCACGTTCCTGAAAAAGCCAGAGGGAAATGACTTGGAACCTAATGAGGAGGAACTTGATATTGTCAGCAGGGTACATCAAAAGAAAATGAGAAAGATAACTCATCAGTTCTTATGGCTGCAGTTAGGATCTATTTGGATATTCCTAGGCCCTTAAAGTCCTGGTATAAAGATGTCTCATGTAGAAGAAAGCACAGAGGTGCCTCAATAATATCACCAGCTCCTTGTTCTTACTAAATCAAGAACAGTCTCCAGCAGACAGAAATGTGTGTGGTTGATTCTATTCCCATTCCCTGCCCACGTATCATTTTCAACACTGATTTTCTTCTTTTTCATATCATTATTCTTTTGTGTTCTGCTTAATAAGCCTGACATCACTGCCTTCAAATCACAGCCAGAAAAGCAGTTGAGAGCAATGACTTCAATGGCCTGATATTAGTATAAGTTTGGTGGGATTTAGAGTGTCTGCTGTGCTTGTCTTTTGCCAAAAACGAAGATGTAATATTGAGCTTGCACAAGGGACAGAGTGATTTTCTACTTAGCTATAATTTTCTCTTCCTCTTTTTGTCTGGCTTGCTTTCACTTTGAAAGAACAGGAACAGCCTTTGACACAAGCAACAACAGGTTTAGCATATGCCAGTGATCTTCTAATGATTTTTCCCAAAAAGGCTCATTGCTACCATTTTTCCTTACATCCTACACCTAAAAAGGAGAGAGGTAACACTAAAAAAGAAAGCCTTGATGCCTTGTATGTCTCATTCTGTGATTCTAAATAGGAACAACCTATCTGTTTATGTACATTCAAGTATATTATGTAAATGCCAAAATTAATTATTTTGCATTCTGCAGCAAAGTATTACAAATGAAACAGAGACATAGCTAGGTAAAACCTGCATAAATTTGGGTAGCACTTGTGCAACCATGGTTCCATTATAAGCACAGATTTTGAGAAAATAAGCAAAGAGTACATTAACCAGCTTACTCTAACTGCTTTTTGCACGTGTTATCCTTGGCACGTTCACATGGTAGAAATCACATGTCCTGCCTTGTGAACAACAGACCTTTTCCAAGCAGACATGTACTGAAGATGGAAATGTGTGCTGCCTGCATCCAGCATTCTGCAGATCATCGTTTATGGTCCTGCCCTTTAAAAACCTCTCAGCTCTGAAACTTTGGAAATATATAGGCAGAAATTTAAATCAAAATCTGACAGCAGCTGAGAAAATGCATTGTACATAGTAACAAATCCACCCCTAAAAGTTTGAAAAGAGTGTTTCCACATGAACCTTAATCTCAAAAATACTCACAACTAATGTTACATCTTTTTAATAAACTGTGTTTAAGAAATGATGGACAAGCACATGCTCCAGCCTTGTTTCTCTATTGTAAGCACAAAATTCAATTAGATTACTTCTGCTGGAGAATTTTCTTGCATAAAGAAAGTTTTTCAGCAGCTGTTATTGCATGCTGATGTAGGCTATTTTTTAAAAAATAATTACATAGGCCTAAGTAAGCTGGAGAAACATTTGAAAGAAGGAAAGCCAACAAAAGAAAAAGAATATTACATCCTTATGAGAGAAGAGGGAAAAGAGTTCCTAAGCAGACAAAGCAAATTCTATTTTAGTTTGGTTCAGGTATTTGAACCTCACCATGATAAAAAGATTGCCTATATGGTATTTGTTATATTTTTAGCTGGGTTTCATGGAAAAACAATATTGAAAATAACACAACTATACCTTTCCTATTACTTAGGAGTCAGTTATACTCTGCTTCACAGGTGATACACTGTGAAAGAAGATTTTTAAAGGAACAATAAATACAGCCAAGAAAAATATATTGAAAAGGCAGCAATGATTAAAAATAAATGGATTCAAAAATCCAAACAAATTCTCTTCAGAGGACTAATTTACTAGTTGTCAATCCTTATAGCAGGGGTTGTATGAGACAATCCCACACATCCCTAAATCTGCATCTTTTCACAGGGAATGCCTCCATGGCAGCCTCTCATATTATTTTGCTTTGTGTCTTCTTTGCTTTTACTGAGTGTAGTTACCATAGATACAAACACTTCTCAGAGGCTTTCTGCCCCCACATTATCTGAGTGAACTGATGTGGGAGAAAGGCTTTAACATATATTTTTAAATGCTTTTATATGACTTTTCTGCACTCAACCCATATTCAACAGCAAAATAAGATGAAGACATTTTTCCTGTTCCTCTTAAATCCCGACGAAGTGGAGACAGAAAGACCAGCAGCCAGAATGTCTTCTTCATTAAGGGTTTGATAAGGGTTTGATAAAATAACTGCAAAGCAAATGAGGGATAACAGTGACATTTTTATTCCCTGTAATTGATATGTACTTCAGTTTGAACGTTCCATTTCTTTTTTTCTTTTTTTTTTCTGCAAATAACTTGTGGACTGTTTAAAACAAACTCTTTGCTAGTTACTGATAGATACATGCTGACAAAAAATTTTCAGAAAGTTCTAAAGAAATGTACTTGATAGACAAGCTTATATCATGGGTACTGATGTATTTAGTTTGGAATAAAATGCAATTTTGTCTACAGATTAAATTGATTCTTTGCAACCTAAAAAGATTGAGAAGATACAAAAAACTTTAAAATGTGTATATTTAACAAATTTCTCTTTAAAATTAAATGTTTCATGGTAAAATGATATTTATTTCTCATTTGGACTTACATTTCTATTGTTACATTTGTAACATATGGTAAAAATATTAACAAATAGAAGGTAAAATTCATATGAAGTGGTCTATCTTTACTAAAGATGAGTTGCCTTCAAAGTGCTTTTTGACACAAGGCCATCCTGGGATTTCTTTTAATTAACTCGTGTTTCCACGTCCTGCAGAATTTTCCCTCTTACCAGAAAGAAGAAAACTAGCAAGCTGTTAGCAGGACAATGAGTGACTAAAAAGATACAGGTCATATTTTGTTTCTTTACATCCACGTTTCAAAATCATTCATTCCCATTTTCATCAAGCTCTCTTGCCTCAGGGAGTGGACTAATCATTTCTGATCTGAAATCACCACTATGTTGCTACTACCTTATCCCACAAATATCATTTTAATAAAGTAAAGCTTTTAGAACATGGTGCCAAATAATTATTTCTTTATCCATTTTCATTCAGATATTTTTGCTTCTGTGGCACTCAGATTTGTTAAAATCATCTACAGATATTTGTGAATACTGCAATTTTATTTTTCCTCATTTTTTCATTATTTTAGCTATTTGTCATTCACTTGTTATTTTTGTCACAATCTATGAAAGTGATTCTATTTTTTTCTGATTTCCCTCAATTATCACTTCGTCCTGCAGTAAGTGCTCATAGATTTCTCAATACAAGAAGTTGAAAGGTCCAAAGATAATGAGGAACACTCGTTTTATTTTATTATTTTTTGCATAGATCCCTGTACACATTAGTTTGTCATTTAGACTACACCTAGTAGTACTTCCTATTGGAAACAGAGATGTTAAATATCAGTGTAAATATCTTGTCTGTTGTTTTTAACATGAAATATAAACATCCCTTTAATTAAATAACTTGACTCTAACTATCCTATTATAGACTTCTGTAAGTCTATAATATAAGTAAAACATAAATAAGGAATGATATTCACAATCAATTTTGACATCATAAAAATTTGCAGAAAAGAAAGACGTAGAATTATTGATAAGTAGCAAGTAAGAGACATTATATATCCTCCAAGTCTAACCTGTTGGTTTAGATTCTTCTTTATAACCAGAAGAATCACTGGAGTGTCTCTCAGATAATTGTTGGTTTTCAGGCAGAGGCTGCTCATCGTGGTCTTCAACTTCTGTGGGCACAAGTATAATCATGAATAACTTTAGCAATACAATTGAGGGATGACAGAAGCACTACAGAAATAAAAAATTACAGAATCACAGCATGGTTAAGGTTGGAAGGGACCTGTAGTCCCTTCCTGCCCAGCAGGGACACCCAGAGCATGTGGCACAGGGTGCATCCAGGCGGGTTTGCAAGATCTCCAGAGAAGGAGACTCCACAACCTCTCTGGGCAGCCTGTTCCAGGGCTCTGTCACCCTCACAGGAAAGAAGTGATTCCTCACATGGAGGTGGAACTTCCTGTGTTTCCCCCTTCCTGTGTTCCATTACCCCTCGTCCTGTCACAGGCCACCACAGAGAAGAGCGTGGCCCTATCCTCCCTACAATCATCCCTCATTTACATGAACATGTTGATCAGATCCCGTCTCAGCCTTCTTTTCTCCAGGCTGAACAGGCCCAGCTCGCTTAGTCTTTCCGATAGCATACGATAGATGCCCTTAATCATCTTCATGGCCCTATGCTGGACCGTCTCTGGAAGCTCCACATCCTTCTTGTACTGGGAACCCAGAAGTGCACCCAGTACTCCAGGTGCGGCCTCACCAGAGCTGAGTAAAGGGGCAGGATCCCCTCCCTTGACCTGCTGGAACGCTGCTCCTGAGGCAGGCCAGGAAATACTTTTGGATCATTCTGCAAAACCTATATATGACCACCAGCAAACAAGGAGTTTTCAGGTACTGCACATTGTCCCAAACATATTTTAAGACCAACTACAGTATGATATACAATATGACATATGACATCTTAATGACAGTATAGCTATATTAATCCAATATGCTTTAGCCTTTAATTCACTGAAAGTGAGACAAAGAGAATTAGAATACTTCTTGTTTCACAGTGTCAATTTTATTTGAGAAAAATACCATGATTATAGATATTAGAATGTAATTATCATATCTGGCTTATGAAGAAGATCGGAAAAAGAGAATACAAAGACCATAAAACACTGCTCAAAAGCTGAACAAACTCTTTCTGTGAAGTTGGTATCACTTCCAAGACTGCTCTGAAGTCTTTCATATAAGTAAACCCCTGCCTGCTGATGAATAAATTCCTCTTGTTCAATCTCGACTTGTAGAAAAGTTTCCAATTAGAGGTAGAGAAACACAACTCAGCATACAAGTCAGTCAGCAAAAACAAAGGAAATATATTTAGAGGCTGTATGATCAGGCACATATCAACTGAAATGTTATAATTATAATTGATTCCAAAGAGCATTTCTCCTGAGAGACTAGAGAGAAAACATACTAAAATATACCATAGTTGTAATTATTATTACATAGTTTTTTTTTGATGTTGTTTAAAATGTCTCACTGAATTTAACATGAAGACAAAAATGAAGCAACAACATAAAATAGGAACTTAAAAATATGGATATTGATTCAGCTGTCCATTGTGTGCAATATGAGAAAAGGAATATTTAAGAGTTTTTAGGAATTACTGATCATAATAGCTCTGAAAGAAGCTGGGATTATCTGGAAGCATGGGATTATCTGGAAACTGGAATTATCAAATCCAGCTGTAAATCTATTCCCTGTTGGAGTCTAGTGTCCAAGGAAGAAGAGTGGTAGAAAGGAGAGCAGTGAAGAAGGGCTTACACCATCACACCAGGCATAGTTGTGGTGCTTGAAGCAAAGGCACACAT